TCGTCCCCACAAGCTGGGCCTGGGGTCATGCGAGCACTTTCGTCAGAAGCTGCCAGTCGTGATAGGGCGCATAGCTTGCGCGCAGGATTGGTATAATTACCACAGTAGTCTTGCAGGGTGGTTGACGTACATCCAATTCCAAAAGACAGGGCTTTAGTATGCTCGCGGGGGCGGGGGGCGGATGGGGTTCCGGGGATAGGTTCATGGCGTGTGTCAGCCCGCAGTTTGTTGGGACTGGTCCACGGAGGAATGGGTGTCCAGGCTCTGCTGTCATGCACTCACAGCTCTCCTATCGATGCGGTTAGCGATCAGGAAAGTTGACATACAATGTATGCTTTTGAGGTGCACTCTGTTGTTTGTATACCAGGCGTCGAGGTGAGGGCAGCTCGCGCGAGCAACCTGAGGCTTGTGCTATGTGCTACAGTACGCGTATGTGGCACGGTAGACGATCGTATTGGATTGCCGTCTTGTAGGTATCTTTTCTACTACATGAGAGCGGGGGAGGGGAGGGCGGGCTAAAAATCAAGGAGTTGTGGTTTGACTAAATTGATGATGAACGCTGTTAGTGCGCTGCTGTGTAGTGGGCGGGTGTGAAAACGACTTGTCTCTGTTGTGGAAACTGACTAATTGACGATGAAAAATTTTCTATACTAGTTGTGCGCTGCTGTGTACGACAAGCTCCTCCGTGCTTCGCGACTGCTGCTTTTTTTTTCTCTTGAACCACACCGTTGGACGGTAGGCCAGACTTCTTGGCCAATGGATGCAGGAAGATGGAACCCGTCTACGAACACGTTCACTTTTTCCGACAAAGGGAAATTGCTACTTCGTACCACATAATTCTACACTCGTTGACAAGCCCCAGGCCCCACGTCAACCTCGGTATGTCTTCGATGTTGCCTTCTTCCGTTTTTTTTTTCTCTCCACGCATGCACGATTCAGATCGATCGCCCTCGAAGTAAGTTCTGCTCCTTTGCGCGCAAGCGCGGTCAAAATCGGCAGCGTATATTTGTTCCCTCCCACAATAGCAACGAAGCACCCGCCCGCACCCCCCCTTTTCACACAAGGCTCGAAACGACTGCGCCAAGAACGATAAGAGAAAACACGTCATTACCGTATACTGGCGGCCTGCATAACATGGTACATTCAATCAGCCCTAGCCCTGACTCCGGTCGAGTGCGCCAAGCCAAAAAATATGAAATCCTCCTTCATTTTCATCATTATTATCCGTCAACATTACCTGTATAGGGGGGGGTTCGGTCCTGGTTAACCCCCACCTAGTCCAAACCGCCAGTCAAGGTTTATAAATCCCCACAGAAGCTTTGTGCCAAATCCCGACCATTTACAACCCGGTACAATTGTCCGCAACACCAGCGCACTCGCGGTATCTGAACATACTCAGTGCGGGAAACATCTTCCACCGCCCCCCCCCCCGTGTTGGTGTCACCACTGCTCCCCGACGAGGTCCGACGCCCCTTTCCTCCTCCCCCTGCTGGAAGCCTTCCTCTGGAACCTCGACGGCGAGAACGGGCCGATGTTCACCGTAGTCGCCTTTCCGTCGACCAGCAACTCCGACATCAACAGGCCAGTCACGGGACCCCACAGGATGCCCCAGCAGTTGTGGCCGGCGCTGATGTACGCACCGCGGACGCCGGGTACCTCCCCCATGATGGGGAGCCCATCCGGAGGGCACGGCCGCATGCACGCCTATTTGTATCGACAACGGGGGGGGGGGTCTAGTAAGTAGCCCTCGCAGGGCTTTTCGTTAAAGCGATCAAGTGGTAAACAAGTCGGATAAAGCATGCAAATTGGGGAAGGTTGGGTGACGGTCTGCGTACCCCCTCCCTGTTATAGCTTCTCATAATACTTTATTTCTCGCGAAGGCGGTCCGGTCTATTAGCGTGCCTTGCCGTAAAGGTATGTGACAGCTTTGTTTGGAGGCACCCACGATCATGTACAAGTTTCCAGGCTGTCTGCCCCCTCATCACCTGTCTGCTCCTGTTCCCCCTGCTCATAATTTGGTTCATCACTCAAATCGGGAACATCCGAGAGAAAATCAAGCACAGAATTAGCCCTGGGCATTCTCCGAAACCTCACAAAAAAAACAAAACAAGTGATCAAACTCTGTAAACGTAACGGATAAATAAACGGGCAAAATCGCACCTGCGTTACTGTGGGACCTTCGTTTCCGATGGACGTCATCCCCTTGAACGAGTTCGTCGCTGCCGTTACCCGCGACGGGTCTGGTTGGATGACCTCGGGCTTGTCGCAGTCACCCCCTGCCTTTAGGCGGGGCGGGTCCACATAGTCGGAACCTGCAACACCAATAGCACAACAACAACAACAAAAAGTTTACACAACCGTGTGCGTCTTCCAACGGTTCATTCATGTATTCGGCGGTGAGGGTACAAAGAATGGAGCAAAAGCAAGACAAGAGAAAGAAAAAAAAAACGCGAGGGTTCCAGCCACAACTCATACAAAATGCCGTCTTGCGGTGGAACCACCTCAGAAAGCAGTCACCGCTTTGATCAACCCCGTTTATTTTTTCTTGTGCGTTTCAAGACTCTCCGTCGGTTGCAGACTATACGTTAGACAACACCCCCCATTTCTGTCGGACTCATACCTCCGAGGCCGCAAAGGTACATCTCCCCGTTGGGACGCGGGTAGACCTGATTTCGAGGGGTAAGACGAAACAGGTTGGTAATTAGCGGGGGTACTGGGGGAAGGGAGGATGGCGACGGCGAGGATTTCGGGCAAAAATGAGCGGGGTAGGGTCTCGAAAACGTCGCGAAGGAGAGAGATCCCATCACCATAAGCGAAACACACCAGTTTACACAACCAACACCAACCACGTCAACGACACTTCAAAACCGCTGTCACCCCCAACACCAGCGCCACCAACAACATGCAACCACGACAGCAGTTACGATGGTTCTCGGTGTTTGCCTCTTTTTTCGTTTTCTCACACCTCTTGGTGGCAACGCTTTTGTTTTTCCCGCTCGAGGGCAAGCGCCGCAGGAGGAGCAGAAGGAGAGGAGCCGTCTGTGTGACCACGGCTGGAGCTTCTACCCTCCCGGCAGACATACTGCTGAGGGCGCTGTGGTGCACACGCACACACTCACGGCCAGCCTTCTCTTTTTCATTCATTCATTTCTCACCTCAAGGCGGCAACTTTTCTCTTTCTCACCTCCAGATGGCAACCGTTTCGGTCCTCCGCGCAGAACAGCGCGTAAGGGTCATCAGCCACCTGCTGAGACCCCTTGAAAACGATGCTAGTGCTCTTGATCCCCTGCAGCAGAGAGAAGAGCAGACCAGAAGCAGGATAACTTGAGCTGCATTTTCGCGGGGAGAAGACCGCAAGAAGCTGGTATTTTAACAACAAACAGACGACACCCGGCCGATGCTCCGTATCAACCTACGTATCGACGAATGGCGCGCTTCCCTTCGGGGCACAGGAGACTGGAACACTGATCCCCCCCCCCCCCCC